CCAGGATGAGATGGATCTTTAAGAATGTTTTGAACTTTCTTAAGACAGTGGGAGCTATAAAGCTCTTCCAAAGAGGGGAGGGGGCAACCAATGATCCTCTGGGCAATGACGTTGACCCTCTGGAGCGCTGTCCAATCTGCCCCTGTGCAATGGGCAAACCAGACACAGGTGCAGGAAGTTAAAATACTCTCTATGGTGCAACGGTAGAAAGTCACCAGCAGTTTTCCATTCAGTTGTTGTTTCCTGGGACGTCTCAGGTAGTATAATCTCTGCTGGGCCCTTTTGACCAGTGCTGCAATGTGAGCTCCCCCAAGTCAGCTCCTTTTTTAGGATAACACCCAGAAACTTAAAAGTGGCCACTTGCTCCACTCGGTCTCCATTGATGAGCAAGGACTGGATGTCTGATCTGTTCCTTCTATAGTCCACTATAAGCTCCTCGGTCTTATTGGTGTTAAGGACCACGTTATTGTCTCCACACCACGAAAGCCACCTGTCCACCTCATCTCGTTCCTTTTTTTATTTCAATAGGCTCTGTCAATTCTCCATTTATCATTACTTTTGCTGTCTGTTTTTGGTCTATGGCTTCGATGGCTTGGATAAATTTTCTCCCAAAGCACATTTGTTTCAACTGTAGTAACATAAATCGCCAATTCACATTGTCAAAGGCTTTCTGTGCATCTAGAAATATCAACGCCATTTGCTTCTCTGGATGTGCCTCATAGTATTCCAAAGTGTCCAGAAAGTATCCAGAAAGAGCCTTGGTGGTGCAGCAGACTAAAGTACTGTTAAAGTGCTGTTAAGTAGTACCAGCTGCCTGCAATTACTGCAAGTTCAAATCTCACCAGGCTCAAGGTTGACTCAGCCTTCCATCCTTCCGAGGTAGGTAAAATGAGGACCCAGATTGTGGGGGCAATAAGCTGACTTTGTATTAAAAAAAAGAACACCGCTTGGGGTGGGCGAAAGCCCTACTAAACAGGTATATACAAAAGTATGAAGGCTATTGCTTAACGCATTGTAAGCCGCCCTGAGTTTCCGGAGAAGGGCGGCATATAAATCGAACTAATAAATAAATTATCCTCAAATTGTCTCTGATCTGTCTTTTTGGGCAGGAACCCATTTTGATCAGAGTGTATGAAATTATTTACAAATATCTTTTGAGTCCTTCTGCCAGGATTGAAGCAAAGATTTTGTAGTCTGAGTTTAGCAGGGATATAGGCCTATCGTTCTTGATTTGTGGTGGGTCAGTATATCCTCCTTTCGGTCCACCTCATCTCGATAGGAGGACTCTTCCCCCCCCTCCCCCATGGAAATGGGTCCCACGATGCCAGGAAGCACAAGAATTCCTCCCTGTGCTAATCAGAGCAGATTTTTCCAGTCCAGCTGTATATCCCGGTTACAAGCGATGTTGAACATCTGTGACGTTACCCCGGGGACTCTACGCCTACCTGAGGGATGTGAGATTTTCATTTTATTTTTTTGCAATGCCAGGTTATTTCATTCCAAAAAGCAGAGTGGTTTTAAAATATGCTGGGGTTGCAATTCAGATTTTTTTCCCCCCCTCCGAGACTAACCCTCCTGTCTGTTGCCCTCTTAGGAGAAAATTAAATCCCTGACTTATGATGACAAGTGAGCCCCGAATCTCTGTTGCTAAGCGAGACCGTTGTTTAAGTGAGCTGGGTCCATTTTTACGACCTTTCTGGCCACAGTTGTAAGTGAATCGCTGCGGTTATTAAGTGAGTAACACGGTCGTAAAATGAATCTGGCTTCCCTGTTGACTTTGCTTGTCGGAAGGTCATAAATGGGGATCACATGACACACACACACACACCCTGGGATGCTGCGACCGTCATAAAAATGAGTCAGTTGCCAAGCGTCTGAATTTGGCTTTGGTGTCTCTAATAGAAAAGAACTGCTTGCCGTATATGGCTTGGCTTGCTCACAGAAGTCATCTGAAATAGAATGGAGTGGAATGGAATGGAATGGAGTAGAGTAGAGTAGAGTAGAGTAGAGTAGAGTAGAGTAGAGTAGAGTAGAAATAGAGTAGAGTAGAGTAGAGCAGAATAGAATAGAATAGAATAGAATAGAAATACAGTAGAGTAGAATAGAGTAGAGTAGAGTAGAGTAGAGCAGAATAGAATAGAATAGAATAGAATAGAGTAGAGTAGAGCAGAATAGAATAGAATAGAATAGAATAGAATAGAATAGAATAGAAATACAGTAGAGTAGAGTAGAGTAGAAATAGAGTAGAGTAGAGTAGAGCAGAATAGAATAGAATAGAATAGAATAGAAATACAGTAGAGTAGAATAGAGTAGAGTAGAGTAGAGTAGAGCAGAATAGAATAGAATAGAATAGAATAGAATAGAGTAGAGCAGAATAGAATAGAATAGAATAGAAATACAGTAGAGTAGAGTAGAGTAGAGCAAGAATAGAATAGAATAGAATAGAATAGAATAGAAATAGTAGAGTAGAGTAGAGTAGAGTAGAGCAGAATAGAATAGAATAGAATAGAATAGAATAGAATAGAAATAGAGTAGAGTAGAGTAGAGTAGAAATAGAGTAGAGTAGAGTAGAGCAGAATAGAATAGAATAGAATAGAATAGAATAGAAATACAGTAGAGTAGAGTAGAGTAGAGCAGAATAGAATAGAATAGAATAGAATAGAATAGAATAGAATAGAATAGAATAGAATAGAAATACAGTAGAGTAGAGTAGAGTAGAATAGAATAGAATAGAATAGAATAGAATAGAATAGAATAGAATAGAATAGAATAGAATAGAATAGAAATACAGTAGAGTAGAGTAGAGTAGAGCAGAATAGAATAGAATAGAATAGAATAAATAGAATAGAAATAGAGTAGAGTAGAGTAGAGTAGAAATAGAGTAGAGTAGAGTAGAGCAGAATAGAATAGAATAGAATAGAATAGAATAGAAATACAGTAGAGTAGAGTAGAGTAGAGCAGAATAGAATAGATAGAATAGAATAGAATAGAATAGAATAGAATAGAATAGAATAGAAATACAGTAGAGTAGAGTAGAGCAGAATAGAATAGAATAGAATAGAATAGAATAGAATAGAAATACAGTAGAGTAGAGTAGAGTAGAATAGAATAGAATAGAATAGAATAGAATAGAATAGAATAGAATAGAATAGAATAGAATAGAATAACAGAGTTGGAAGGGACCTTGGAGGTCTTCTAGTCCAACCCCCTGCCCAGGCAGGAAACCTTACACCACTTCAGGCAAATGGTTATCCAAATGGTTTATCTTCTTTAAAACTTCCAGTGTTGGAGCATTCGCAACTTCTGGAGGCGAGTCGTTCCGCTGATTCATTGTTCTAATGGTTTTCTTTCCTTTCCTTTTTCTTTTCGCTTGGATAACAGAGTTAGAAATTAAGAGTTTGAAAAGTACCATGATGTAAGCAACTGACTCAGACTTAGCCCATTGACTTCGTGTACGCTGTTCACCAAGCATTTCTCTTATGTAAAGGAAAAATTATTTATATATAAATGGGGGAAAAAAAAGAAAAAGAAATAATCTGGAATAATCTGCCTTTTTAACAAGGCAGCTGGGCTTCTTTGCTGGGGGGGGAAGAGGGATAGTGAGTCACGTGGTCAGTGAAAATTAAGGGGGGGGATAGATTTAACCTCCAGGGACCTCTGTTTGGGCTTTAATCTCCCCAAAGTCATCAAATCATCTGAATGAGGGTTTAAACCAGAAGTCTTCAAACTTGACAGCTTTAAGACTTGTGGACTTCAACTCCCAGAATTCTCCAGCCAGCTATGCTATGCTGGCTGGAGAATTCTGGGAGTTGAAATCCACAAGTCTTAAAGCTGCCAAGTTTGAAGACTTCTGGTTTAAACTATAGGTAGTCCTCAACTTACGGCCACAATGGGAACCAGAATTTCAGCCACTAAGCGATGCAGTCGTCGGTTGAGCTTTCCCAAGAGCAGACCTAATTTTACAACCCTTTTTACTTTGGTTGTTAAGTGAATCATTGATTGAACCCAAAAATTTCCCCAAATGTTTGAAGCCGGCAAGGAATTGCAAGAAGTCACTTTGCTTGGAACAGCTTCCATCCTGCGACAATAGTTGTAGCCCAATCAAACATCTCAAGTCCTCGGGAAGGACTCGATAGGTAGGCAGAAATGCCAAACACAAGGTGAACATTCAGCTGATTGCGCAACCAACCATAACAACAACAACAACAACAACAACAACAAAAGCCTTGGGTGTAATCCCAAAACATTCTAGAACACCATTTGAACACCATCGTCATTGACAAATTCACCACCAGTCAATTGCAAAAGGCAGCAATTTACTAGTCCAGAAAAATCACCAATATTTCTCAATTTTGGCCACTTAAAGAATTCCAGAATTCTTTCTGGTCAACTCCCAGAATTCCCCAGCCAGCCATGAACAATAGAGTTGGAAGAGACCAGAAGGATCAGCTGGTCTAGAATTTCAAAAACACTGGTTAGATGTTCTCCAGGGGTCCTGCCAAACTTTACAAATAAGACGCTATAGGTCAAGGTAAAGATTCCCCTCGTACATATGTGCTAGTCGTTCCCGACTCTAGGGGGCGCTGCTCCTCTCCATTTCAAAGCCGAAGAGCCAGCGCTGTCCGAAGACGTCTCCGTGGTCATGTGGCCGGCATGACTCAACGTCAAAGGCTCACGGAACGCTGTTATCTTCCCACCAAAGGTGGTTCCTATTTTTCTACTTGCATTTTTTACCTGCTTTCGAACTGCTAGGTTGGAAGAAGCTGGGACAAGTCACGGGAGCTCTCACCCCATTACGCAGCGCTAGGGATTCGAACCGCTGAACTGCAGACTTTTTCGATCGACAATGTCCGACAATGATCGACAAGGAAGATGCTATGCAATGGTCCAAATCTTTTAAGTGACTCATTCCTCTTCTCTAGAGGAGCCATCCATCCTTCTACTACACAAAAGGCATTCACACATGAAGTGGGGTAGGGGTGTACCGAGCCGAGCCTCACCTGAGCCGGCCCTCCTGTGGAAAGTCATGTGGTGGGTCGCTGCACGTCAGACGAGCTTCCTCATCCAGGAGGTATACAAACACCCTTTCCTGCAATGCAAAGAGGGAAAAAACATTGAATAAATTAAGACTGGTAGTCGCTCAAGGGAGTAACTGGGTATTCATTTACCCAGAGGCTACCTCGGCTGACCTGGGAAACATTTAACAAAATTGGATTTGGTTAGAGGGGGTCTGTAGGTGGCAGAACCCAACTCAACCACCAGAGGGCAGCAAAGCCATGCACAAACTCACTCCCTTCCACCCCTAGTGGCCGTGTGGAATTTTGCAGCCCAACTCTACGGTTCGTCAGTTTCAATGTGGATTAATCCAATAAGGCAGCTGTTCTGGACAGACCTATAAGGAGGTGGTCCTTGACTTACAACCGTTCATTTCCTGACAAAAGTTAAAGCCGCATTGAAAAAAGTGACTTACGACTGGTCCTCTCACTTACGACCGTTGCAGCATTCCCACAGTTATGGGATCAGAATTTGGGCATTTGGGCAACTGGTAGATATTTAGGAGGGTTGCGGTGTCCTGGGGTCATGGGATCATCGTCCGTGACCTTTCCAGCTGCCCAGCAAAATCAATGGTGGGGGGGGGTGGATTCATTTAAAGACCACAAGATTCACTTAAAAACATTTCTCTCTTTCTCTTATCTGTCTATCTCTGTCCATCTGTCTGTCTGACTGTCTGTTTATCTATCTCCCTCTCATCTCTCTTGCATGCTCTCTCTTATCTATTATCTCTCCCTTTTCTCTCATCTATTGTCTGTCTATCATCTACAGTATTTATCTATCTTCTATCCAATCATCCACCCATCTTCCCTTCTTCTCACTCCATCCATCCATCCATCCATCCATCCATCCATCCATCCATGCATCCATCCATCCATCCATCCATCCATCCATCCATCCATCCATCCGTCATTGTCTGTTTGCTCTCTCTTATCTATTGTCTCTCCCTTTCTTTCTAATCTATGGTCTGTCTGTCTATCCTCTATCCATTCATCCTTCCATCTATTATTCCTCTATCTGTCTGTCTTTCTGTCCGTCTATCCATCCATCCATCTATCTATCTATCTATCTATCTATCTATCTATCTATCTATTCAATTATCCAGATATCTTTCCTCCCTCCCTCCCTCCCCATCCATGCATCCATCCATGCATCCATCCATGCATCCATGCATCCATGCATCCATGCATCCATGCATCCATATCCATCCATCTATCTATCTATCTATCTATCTATCTAATTTGGAAAACTGCCCATCTACTTCAAGAAGGACTCTGGACAATGAGTAAAAACGAATAAAAGATGAAAACAGGACACAAAATGTTCAGTTTAAATTTCCCCTTCCGGAGGAGCCTCCTTTCTTTTCTGCCCATGTTCCCAAACAGCTATTTAAGGTCAGGGACTTTCCCCTTTTCCTTTTCGTGATGGAAGACAAATCAAGGCATTAAAAACCAACAATCCACAGTTCCCACAAGTCTACCCTTGGCAACGAAAAGTGGGATCCTGAGGTCACAACTCCGTTTTTTCCCCAGCCAGGGAAAATTCTCCTGTTGGGCACAGATCAATAGCTCTGTTGAGCTGCATCTAGCAAAAAAAAGAGATGATTTTTATCTATCTTGTACTGTGCAAAATTGCATTGTTAGAGAGAAGCCGGCTCAGAGCGGCAAAATCATAACAATTGATGGCGACTTCTATTATATTCCTCGAAGGGAACACAATTTGTGCAAACACACACTTTATTGTCGTGTCGTATTGTTTGAGCCTCAAACAGTGCCAGCCGCAAACAAGGGGAAGATTTTGCAAACAGAGGGCAAAATAAATGGAAGAAGTAAAATCAGGACAGAGGAGAAGCTTTGCAAGGATTCCGCTCCCACAACTGAAAACTTGGAAAATATCTCAGATGGTGCATCAGTTGAGCGTCCCAATCTGGGCCAACGTAACTGAGATGGAGAAGAGAAAATCCAACCCAGAACGAAAGAATGAATGAGTGAAGGAAGGAAGGAAGGAAGAAGGTTGAAAGAGGGAGGGAAGGAGGAAGAAGGAAGGAAAAGACAGAAAAAGAGATAGACAGGAAGGAAGAAGAAGAAGAAGGGAGGGAGGAGGGAGGAAGGAAGGAAGGAAGGAAGGAAGAAGAAGGGCCAGAGGGAGGAAGGAAAGAAGGGAGGAAGAAAAAGGGAGGGAGGGAAGGAGGGAAGGAGGAGGGAGGAAGGAAGAAAAAGGGAGGGAGGAAGGAAGAAGAAGGGAAGAAGGAAGGAAGAAGAAGGGAAGAAGGAAGGAAGAAGAAGAGAGGGAGGGAGGAAGGAAGGAGGTTGAAAGAGGGAGGGAAGGAGGAAGAAGGAAGAAAAAGAGAGAAAGAGATAGACAAGAAGGAAGGAAGAAGAAGGGAGGGAGGGAGGAAGGAAGGAAGGAAGAAGAAGGGAGGGAGGGAGGTGAAGGGAGGGAGGAAGAAATGAAGAAGAAGGAAGGAAGGAAGAAGAAGGGAGGGAGGGAGGAAGGAAGAAGAAGGGAGGAAGGAAGGAAGAAGAAGGGAGGGAGGGAGGGAGGAAGAAGAATGGAGAAAAGAAGGAAGAAGAAGGGAAGAAGGAAGAAGAAGGGAGGAAGGAGAAGGGAGGGAGGAAGGGGGAGGGAGGAAGGAAGGGACAAAGAAGAAGGGAGGGAGGGAGGAAGACGGAAGGAAAAGACATAGACAGGAAGGAAGGAGGAAGGAAGGGAGGGAGGAAGGAAGGAAGGTTGAAAGACGGAGGGTGGGAAGAAAGCAAAGAAAGCAAGGAAAAGACAGAGAAAGAGATACACCAGAAGGAGAGAGAGAGAGGGAGGGAGGGAGGGAGGAAGAAGAACGGAGGGAGGGAGGGAAGAAGGTTGAAAGTGGGAAGAAAGGAGGAGGAGGAAGGAAGGAAGGAATTTATGGATTTATTTATTCATATCTCCCTCACTAAGGGATTCCGGGTAGTGGGTGAGGGTGTACAGGTACTCCTCGACTTACAACAGTTCATTTAGTGACCAAAGTTAAAATGAAACGGAAAAAAGGGACCATTGTTCACACTTAACGACTGCTGCAGCATCCCCACGATCACGTCACGTGATCAAAATTCAGGCGCTTGGCACCCGATTCACATTTATGACGGTCCCAGCATCCCGGGGTCATCCCCTTCTGACAAGCCAAGTCCATGGGGAAAGCCCGACTCACTTAACAACCGTGTTCCCAGCGTAACAGCCGCCGCGATCCGCTTAACTGTAGCAAGGAAGGCCGTACAACGGGGGCAAAACTCACTTAACAGCCATCTCGCTCAATGACAGAAATGCGGGGCTCGGCTGCGTGACGTAAATTGAGAACCGCCTGTCTTTCTGGGACGCATTTTATATGCTGTTTTTGTGATGCTTAGATGTTATGCTGCATGAAGCCAACCAACCGAAGACAGGGGGCTGGACTAGATGACCTTGAGGGGGCCCTCGCCCTCCAGAATTGCAGGCTTCTGGGGATATAAAGGCACAGAAAGGGCTCCTCTGCTAATTTGGCCCTCTGGCTCAGCTCTTGTCAGCGGGACTCCCTCCGAGGTTCCCCGCTGATCCGAAATGAAACTGTAATTATTGGATTATCTCCTGCCTTCCTGGCCCTGTTGAGCAGGAACTGGCATTCAGAAGCCAGCGTGCACGCAGGAGCCCAGGAAAGGACTCGCCACACCATGCTCCTCTGCCAAAATGCATCCTTGCCCATCTCTGGAACGATTTCCGATGCCTCCACTGGCCACCCGTCGTAACCTCCCTTCCAACCCTTCCCCCCCCCCCCCAAAGGCCCGGAGCTGGCCAAAGGACGGGGCGAGGCGGCTCTTGGCGAGAGACGTCGCCAGCCAGTTCCAATTAGTTCCCCTTCGAGACGATGAAAGGTGCCAACGGTGCCAGCCACCCAAGCCAGGGGATGCTAATGGCCCAGGGCCATTAGTGGCTCTCAGCAGCTGGCAGCCAGGGCTGAGCCCGTGTTTCCGGAGTGCCTGCCCAGATCTCCAGCATCCCAGCGTAACCTCTCCGAAGGGCTTAATGATATTTGGCAGCTCGTTATCTCCTCGTGTCTCCATGGCTAATGAGCCTGGCAATTAAATCTCCCCCAATGGAGCTGGGTGCCTGATGAGCCTCTCTCTGCCTTTCCCCCTTCTCTCTCTCTCTCACTCTCTCCGTGTCTCTTTCTCTCTCTCTCTTTCTGTCATCTCTCTCTCTCTTTCTTTTTCTCTCTGTCTCCTCTCTCTCTGTCTCTGTGTCTCTTTCTTTCTCTCTCTCTCTTTCTCTGTCTCTCTCTTTCTCTCTTTCTGTCATTTCTCTTTATCTCTCTTTTCTGTCACTCTCTCTGTGTCTCTTTCTCTCTTTCTTTTCTGTCATCTCTTTCTTTTTCTCTCTGTCTCCTCTCTCTGTCTCTGTCTGTCTCTTTCTTTCTCTCTTTCTCTTTCTCTGTCTCTCTCTTTCTCTTTCTGTCATCTCTCTCTTTATATCTCTCTTTCTCTCTGTCACTCTGTCTCTATCTTTCTCTCTCTTTCTTTCCCTCTGTCATTTCTCTCTTTCCCTCTCTCTCTCCCCCTCCCTCCCTCCCTCCCTCTGTCTGTCTGTCTCTATCTTTCTGTCATCTCTCTATTTATCTCTCTCTCACACACTCACACACTTTCACTCTTTCTCTCTGTCATCTGTCTCTCTCTTTCTTTCTCTCTCTCTCTCTCTTTCTTTCTCACTCTCTCTGTCATCTCTCCATCTGTTGTCTATCTGTCTCTCTCTCTCTGTCTCATTTCACTGTCTCTATGCCTCTTTCTCTCTCTTTCCTGTCATTTCTCTCTCTGTGTTTCTCTTTTTTTCTCTCTGTCATCTCTCTCTTTATCTCCCCCTCATCTTTCTCTCCCTCTGAAGCAAGGATGATTCAAGCTGCAGGGAGCAGGTTAGGCTTAGGGCTGAATTTTGGCAAGGCTTCATTATCACAGGAGGCTTCCAAAGAAGAAAAATCGGATGGCCTTTTGTCTCTAGAAGATCCCAAAGGTCCCGTCCAACTTTAGGTGTTCCCCTTCTGTGAAAAGAGCTGGGAGGAAACACTTTGTGGCTTTGAGGAGGATAGAAGCTACTTCAGATCTACCAGTCAATCAAGATGTTGAGACTCTGGAAA